TCTCATGCATAAAAGTTTTAACACAAGGAATAAAGAAATATTTAGTTGTGAACAGAGCAGGACAGGTTAGTTCATAATTAATTTATTTTTCCTTATTAGCCAGACAGTATTCGGATAAATGAGCTCAATGCCTAGGAAAATTCAAGGGAAGAACCCAACACTCATTTGAGAATTAAATACATGCAAATATTTCCTTTACACCCCAACATATCTAAGACTAATAAATGGATTAAAAATGGGATAATTTACATTCTTGGCCTGGGCAGTTTCATTCACTTTTACGATCACTTGCAATGCTAACTGCACTATATGGTTGTTAGAGAAATGCATAGAGAATTCTTGTTCCCTAAACCAACAGTTGCCTGAACTCCCTGTATTCTTTATAAAATTGCACACATTTCTAAACAGAGCTATACAACTCTGAAATCCAACTTACACAGGTTGGGATCTGACTGGTCCCAGATGAGGGATTTAGCAGGACCAAGGGAGGGTATATCTGCTCCTCCTGCTCCCCACTGCTACTGACCCCCTCTAGCCCTGGACTGGCTGCTAGCCAGCTCCCCGCTGTCCTGTCAGTCCCCACTCCCTTGCCTGTCATGCTGGGCAGCCCAGCTCCAGCTGTGCTCCCATCCCACCGGGCAACCCCGCTGTGGTCCGCTGGGATCCTGGCCCTGCCGGGCAGCCCAGCTGTGGGGAGCTAGGCTCCTGAGCCCCACTGGCAACTCATTGCCAGCAGCCTGCTGGCTTGTAAGACTCTTAGCTGCCAGTCCTCCATGGTCCGAGTCCATGGTCCGGAACATCCATGGTCCGAGTCCCGGTTTACAGAGGTTCAACCTGGTACAAATGTATGTAAAATTGCAAGCATACCACGGTGTCAATAACACTTTTTTTTTTTCCATCCAGGGGACACTAGGGACACTTTGAGTCTTAGTTTGGGAGTGCTTGCCCATCAGTCTTAAGTGCAAGTCAGCATCTTTCTTGGGAGCAGTGAAGAATTAGGTGTTGTGTATTTGGATTGACTTAGGTGGCTATCCCAGCCTTCTGGACAAGTGGGTTTCTCCTGGCCAATCAAGACTGACAGAAGTTTTAAACACACTTTTTGGGGGCTTTGTCAGAAGACAGATAACCATTTGCCTTAGTTCCTTAACTCGATCAAAACATACAAGTTCCTCTCTCCCGGTTTCCCACCAAAATCATTGATGGCCACGTTGGGATCTGATTCAGAACCCATTCAGATCAGTGGGAATCTCTCTAATTATTTCAAAGGATTTTGGATTGGGTTCCTATAGAATAATGTTTACAAAATCACTGTTGCGATAGGCGTACTTCATGTGTGCCCTTCTTTTCTCTAATGGATGCCATAATGCTGTTGTAGAATTACAGAACATTAAAAAATGAGGCAGCATCATCCATGCTCAACCTTCCCCTAAAAAAAAAGAGACTTTTTTTAATGTATGATCTTCATATACACAGGAGGGTGTTTGGAGAGAACAATTTAAAACTCAAGCGGTTTTCACTCTATCAGTGCACCACCCTGTAGCTGGAATTGTTTTCCTGTGTGCCTGAAATCATCAGAAGTAGCTACATATATTCTAAAAAATATAGGCGGATAATTAAAAATACCCAGTCATGAAATATACCATCAGTGCTACCACCATAGATTTTATTATGACAACTTTTAGGAGACCCGTGAATATGTTGATTTCCACGGTTTGTGACAAGCTGGAGGGGAATATTTGAAATGAATAAGTTCTAATATCTGCTGAAGGGGAAAAATAAATGGTGCCTAATGCTTTCAATATCCCATAAGTGTGAAAAAAGCAATGTAGCCTATCGATAAACTAAGGAAATGGCATCTCGAAGACATTACTATAAGATGGGGGCACAGAGAGTGCAAAGACCATAAACAAAGAGTAGTTATCAATAGTTTTCTGTCAAATTGGGAGGGCATATTTAGTGGCATTCCACAGGCGTCAGTACAGGGTAGAGAACTAGTCAATATTTTCATTAATGACTTGGATAATCGAATAGACAGTATGCGTATAACATTTGAAGCTAACACCAAGCTGGAAGGGTTTGTGATCATTCTGGAGAACGGGTGTGAAATTCAAAATGACCTTGACAAATTGGTCTCAATTCAACAAGATGGAATTCAATAAAGACGTGCAAAGTACTTCACTTAGCAAGGAAAAATCAAGTACACAGCTGCAAAATGGGGAATGACTGAGTAGGTGGACGTATTATTGAAAGGATCTTGAGGTTATAGTGGACCATAAGCTGATAACGTGTCAGTGTAGTTCAGTTGCAAATAAAGGCTGTTGTGATTTGGGGATATATTGAGCAAAGGGTTGTATGTGAGACATAGGAAGTAATTGTCCCAGTCTACTGAGTACTAGTGAGGCCACAGCTTCAATAGCTTGTCCAATTCTGGGCACCACAGTTTATGAAGGATGTGGACGAACTGGAAAGAGTCCAGGGGAGAGAGACAAAAATGATAGAATGTTTAGAAAATCTGATCTGCAACAAAAGGGTTTTTTTTTGTTTTTTTTCCTCAAACAACAACCCTGGGCCTGTTTAATGGTGAGAGAAGAAGACTGGGAAGACCTGATAAGTCTCCTAGTATATTAGGGCTCAAGGGTGTGCACTAAGGGGGTTAACAGGGGCATGTTCTCCCCAATAATTAGTAGGGGCATAACTCCTCTGGCGTCGTGGCAGTGGCACAGAGCTCCTGTGGCTCCAAGGCTGCATCAGGGGCAAAGAATGTGTCCCTCCAAAAGCAGTCAAATTTGAATTCTTGCATGTGGCCTTACAAGGGATCTTTCAAAGAGGATGGTGATCGATTGTTTTGTGTCCACTGAAGAAGGGACAAGAAGTAATGGGCTTACTCAGCAGAGGGCTTTCTAACGTTCAGGATAGTTAAGATCTGGAATAAGCTTTTAGGGGAGTGTGGAGTTGCCATCATTGGTAGTGTAGAAGCTGTAGAAATCATTTTCATATTAGGCTAGAAGCCATCTTGAATATCAGAAACCATTTCCGCTTTTCTCTCAAGCACGTAGACCAGAGTGAACTTTCTGTCACCCCGTGAGAAGAGGCCTACAGGATGGGCTATTGGTATTTGTTAATTGGGCCGGTTGGTACAGGAGATGTACTCCCTCGTATCTGTCCGCCATCTTGTTGATAAGGCTTTGTTTTTCCAAATTTAATTGAGGATTTCTGTAATTGGATGCCCTGACATCAGACTGTTTGGCTAAGGGTATAAAGATACTAGGATTGATTGTATTAGCAGCTTTACTGGGCCCGACTTTGCTGGGACCACGTTTGGCTCACTTTGCTTTACTGATCAATAAAGCAATCAGTTGTTAGCCGCCTACACAGAAAGGAGCGTGTTTTTGCTTCGACAATAGTGTTCAAAAGCAAGTTGGACAGATACCTGTCAGGTATGGCCTATGTTTCCTTGGTCCTGCCACAGTGCATGGGGCTGGACTTGATGACTTCTCAAGGTCTCTTCCAACCCTATCTTTCTATGAATATATTTTCCCCCTTTTATTTTTTTTAAGCATAGGAAAAGGTGTGGGGATAATTGTGTGTGGTATTCTTGGCTCTTGAAGCAGTTTTGTGCTTGCCTTGTACATAAGGCAAGGGCTCTTCGGGCACATAAGTCACTCTTCCAATCAGACTACAAGAAGCACTAGAGGTTGTGTTGCACGGTAGAATCCCTTGGGAGGTTGAACGCATCACCTTTACACCTTAATCGTCACAGCACAGTTGTCCAATCATTGTATCTGCTGGGGGTGAAGGCTTAGAGCATGTCTTCACTACTAAGTAAATCGATCCACTAGTGTTTGATTTATGGTGTCATCTTAGATACAATAAATTGATCTCCAAGCACTCTCCCATCAACTCCGGCTCTTTACCGGGGTGAGAAGAGTAGCCAGAGTTGATGGGAAAGCAGCTCCTGCCAACCTTATTGCATGGAAGTCAATGCAGTAAGTACGTCGACTTCAGCTACACTATACACATAGCTGAAGTTGTGTGAGTTAGATTGATGGGGGGAGGGAGGAATAGTGCAGACCAATGTTTTTATAAAGTAACCCCTTTTAAAAAAAAATTAAGTACCCCCACTACCTACAATTTTCAGACACACAGTTTTTTTCTACTACTGCAACACATTTGTTTAAACAACTTAATCGTAGCCGGGCGGGCGACACAATTTTTGGGTGTAAAAAGTATAAAAATAATAAAGCACTGTAAAACTTAAAACAAAAATTCAGTTTTCTCTAAATTTCAGTTGTGTTGACGTACCCTCCAGACTTTTCTCTCAAGTACCCCTAAGGGTACTCGTACCACTTGTTGAGAAACACTGGTGTAGACTAACCTTAATATAAAGTTCTTGTAATGTCTCTGGTCCAGATTCTGCCATACTTGCATAGTATCTTACTTGGCAAGTAAATCTTGGCTTTCCAAGAGACTACACGTGGAGTCAAGTTTTACTCTCTGCCTAGGTCTACACTAGACCAGACAGGTCGGCTTAAGGTACACCATCCAGCTATACAAAATGCATAGCTAGATTCAGTTTACCGTAATCTGAGCCACTGCAGCATCTACACTGTGGGAGACCGACAGGAGCACATGCTCCTGTCAGTTTCCCTTACTCCTCATAGAATGAGGAGTAGCAGATGCTGGAGGGGGCCACCCTCAGCACTCAATTTGGGGGTCTAAATTAGAACCACTAAATTGAACGCTAAAAGATTGACCTGTGGAGGGTTGATCTTCTCCGTAGTGTAGACAAGCCCTTTGAGTAAAGACCAGTTTTAAACATCTTCTGTGTTATTTTTAGAAGAGGGTATAATTAAACTGGACTAAAGAAAATGGGGGTGGTGTTTGTCCATAGCATGAAGGAGGTTTGTAATTTGGCCCTTTTTTCGCATATGGTGAGTATATGCTTATTCTCTAAACATCTTTTTTTTTTTCTTTTTTTTTCACACTCTCCTTCTGGACAGAAACTGGGCGAAGGATTAGCCAAGCTGCGGACAGTACGCGAGGCTCCATCTGAATGTGTCTGCCCACCAGGTATGTGGAACAGTGACATCTTCTCTACTATTGTCACCAAAATTTGACCATTGGTAAATTGTGGACAGTCTTTCTAGGCTGCTGTCCAAGTTCCTCTTTCTTTTAGCCACTCCATTATATTTAAATGGAACATGCTAACGAGTTTAAGTAATTCACACTAGGAAGTGCTGTCTTCCGAGTCACTTTCCTTGGCTTGCATTTGTGTGTTTAAATGAGAGTGGTGTGTTGGGCTTGAATGGGGGAGCCGTGTGCATTATTAAATAAGCCATTTAGTCTAACGGATCTACTGACCTGTGTGTCTTTCAGGGGTCTGTGTAGGACATTAAAAAAAATAAACTGATTACAACCTCTGCAGTTTAAGCAGCAGTGTAATAACTAAAAGCTGTATCACCTCCCTCCTTTTATGATACTAGAGCATTGCTCTGCATATGAAAGCTCTCACTGACTGTTTAAATTCCATCATACAGTTTAATGAACTTCCTTGACTATGAAGACCTTCCTGTTTTTTGTTTTGCAAGAATACCCGCTTTGGAAACAGTAAACATCTTCAGTTAATCTGCGTGGGAACCCCATTTACACAAATACATTCAAAATGTGCAGCTGTTATGGTAACTTATGTGATTTGCCCTCTGGAGCGTTT